TCATATGCGCGCTAACTGCGCCCCTGAAGATGGTTAAAAACCGTCTCCTCACTACGGGTTCTTAGAGGGTCCAAATATAGAACAGTAAGCGTGACCTTGACAAATACGTGGGTTACGCAGAACACACTTCTGAACTGTCATCCGGCAACCGTCCCTGTGCTTCGACCCTTAGGCTGTCCTTTCAACTTTATTACCGGAGTTCTATATAATTCAGTATATATAAGGGGAATAGGCAGAGCCTTTGAAACCCTCTATTTACAGATAGATTATTACAAATCATACATCCTGTTCAGAGCCACCTATGTACATATAAATAATACGGCAAAGCGCTCCCTGGGACTAGAAACTTATTTGCCCGACGTTACAAAATCTCAAGCAAGCCCATTGTGAAGGAATAAAAAGTGTGCAACTCGCTGCATATTTAGCTCAGCCCTGCCGGGAGCGACCTTGAGCTCTGCCGTCAATTTATTCGTTCGACGTGAGATAGGCATCAGGAAGATCGATATGCCTATTAATAGAATCGGTGTGCGAGTGCCATACCTCCTGCAGCAAGCGTGAGATATATGTTTAAGATTAGTATTGTTATATTGTGTTATATGAGATCGTACCTCACACAAACGTCCAAACTTAGAGAACGCGGCTTTAAAATGGGAAATAGATAGCCGCAGAATCTGCACCCCTTTCAAAAACCACGAATATCTTCGAGAACCAGACCACGAGCCAATGAAAGAAGGGCATCAACTGTGTTAGGCTCTATATACATACACATAGGGAGGGGAAGTAGTAGGGCGCTATAAAAACATATCCTTAAAGTAGTCCGCAAATTCGTCCGGTTCTCTAGAAGTGGCGGCAGTTTCAGTCGACGACCAAACTACACTCTCTTCCTCCACCTGCTTTTTCTGCGTATCTGCGAGGTTACTCTCTTGGCTAGCTTCATCAGGATGAAAACGTTTGGATGGTTTCAGTCCGGTGGCAGCGTCGCCTTCTTTTCCTTCGCGAACCTTTGCCTGCTGGGCTGCAGCAACGCACTCTTGATGCCTTGAAGAAAAGGAAAACAGCCAAAAGGTTATGGGGTTTCGGAGACAATATTTTCGAGTAGGAGTGGGAACAGGTCATTTAAAAAGAGCCGTCCTGCTATATAGTTGCTGAAAAGTAAGGGGATATTAACTGCTGCGGTCAGTT